ATGGACTGAATCCCCAGAACCATGAACCAATTCAAACCTCTCCTTTGACTGTGGGTGTTGGGTATGGTGTCCCAGCCATGGGAAAGCTGACTAATACAAGGATGGTCAGTGAAACTCATGTTCTGTGAACTGTGAGTTATTGCATACCAGTGGGTTATGAGAACAATTCAGCGCCTCTCGACCACATTTAATTTGACTTAAATTGAATAAAATACAAAATGTCAGGCGTATGTCATGTAGTAAGATTAAGAATTGTTTGAAATTTTTCTGACAGCTTCTCTTCTGGTTGTGTGTATGTGTCCATACGTACTCACTTACACTATAAAATCTATTTCTCACTATGGATCCAGCCCCAAAAGTTAAAAAGCCACATATCTCAAAGTTTTCCCCATCTGGTTTCACGGTGCTTGTATATGGCAGTTTTACAGCTTTCCTATTTCACTCAAAGGAATATGAAGAGAGTGTCAGTTCCACCAGTCTACACCCTGAGACAAGCAGAGCAGCTGAGGCCATGCAGGATCTAAAGACCAGACGAGACCAAGATGTCACTGAGCCACCCGGATCTGGAGCCAGATGACCCACTCCCCTTGTGCTTGGAGCGACAGAGTCCCAGAACCTGGGCAGGAGCAGGCCCAGATCTGGGCAGTGGCCAGCAGCTCGATGAACCCAAACCCGGCAGGTGCCACCTTGGAGGCTACTGGGAAACATCCCAGCAGGTTACGAGTGTGGTGGCCGCACGCTGGCTAGATGCCCTTTCTCTTCATAGTTTCCTATATTGACTGGAATTTTACATTGTAACCAGACAAAACAATCACATTATTTTTCCAGCGGTGTCGTGGGGGTCACTGGTGACACATGTGCACCCCTACCTTCACCTGTGCTTTTTCTGCCGATGACTTTACAAGCCCGACTTCTGTCCTGTCCGCCCAGCTCCCTCGCTGGCAATCAAAGCTGCTCTCCGGTCCTTTGAGGGTTTCCAGCACTTTGCACGCAGCTCTTGGCAGAAGACGCAGGGTCACATGGCGGGTGACTGGTATTTATTTTCTGACTCATGGGACGGAAAGAAGCACTTCACACAGGCAAGGCACAGGCCCTCTGTTGCCAGTTGGGGTAACCTCTCAGCCTGGGAGGTGACTCATCCGGGGAGGCCTGGCCTGCTCCTGCTCAGGTGCTGCTCCTGCTCCCAGGGGACACTGGCTTCCCAGGGAGAGGCGGGGCTCTCCGACATGGGGCCAGGAGCCCACCTGCCTGGCTCCAGGGGTGGTATTGTAAATAGGTAAGTTAATTAGATATCATGTAGGCAGTTCAAAAGGGCCCCCCTCAAGGCGCCAGCCCTCCAGGAGCCAACACAGGGAGAAGCCAACATGGAGAACAATTGAGGCACATTCACTGCTTAGCATTATAAGAAGAGGAGGCATTACTTCCCCTAGAGATCCATAGCAGTGATTGATATTCTAAATGGGACATGCCTTGTATGTGACTTGCTCCCCGATTTTACCCCCATTTCATCAATACTACCTGGGTGACTGTACTTGTGATCTTATTGGTTGGTCATGGTATTGTCCTACCTCATGTCCACCTTGTCAATTTCCATTGGGTCTCATAGTTCTGTCCCACTTTGTACCCTCCTCACCATGTAGCTTTGCTGTATAAAACACCTTTGAAAAGTGGGGTGGGCAGGCAACCCACTTTCTGGTCCTCCTCCTGTCTCTCTTAGAAGCTTTCTTTCTCCCAATAAATTTTTCCTACTCTTAACCTCCCTTGTTTCTAGAATTCATTCTTCCATTTTAGAGAACACGAACTCATGTCTCAGATATCTAGCAGGTTTGGGAGTTGCACCTCTTCCCCCTGTATCAATGGGGGCTGCCACGGGGGGCAAAGAGGTTTGTGAAGAGGCCAGCTGGTGGCAAAGGTGAGCAGGGTGGACGATCCAGGTTGGGAGAATTGGGGGAAGAAACAAGGCAGACCGGAAGTGGGGGAAGCAGGCCGACGAGGATCTGGGGCCCTTACTTCACCCCACCTTCTAACAAGCGGTCACTCGCTCACTCGGTCCTCGTGGAAGCCGGGCGCGGTCTAAGGCCCCGACTTCCAGCAGCCCCAAGACATGGTCAGTAAACCCACTTGCAGATGAGGAAATTCTGCTCAGAAATGTAAAGTGACTTGCCTAGCGGCACACAGCAGGCTGTGCAATGCCTCACACATGGGTTGTAGTCCACAACTACTGTGAATGCTTAAATTTTTTTAAAAAATGATTGCAGTAAAACACACATTGTCTTTAATCCTCCTCAGAATACTGCGCCTCACTTCAAATACACTTATCCCATCCTTCTTGTCCCTCTCGGAAGCAGTTCTGAAGTCTTCTCTCATGAGTGTCCTTACTTGTGCTAGTATGGCTGCCTCGACATCCTGAATCGATTCAAAACATTTACCTTTCACGGTCATTTTGATGGTGGAGAACAGCTGGAAGTCACACGGTGCCTGATCTGGTGAATGAGATGGATGAGGAAGACACAGCGTGACGTTTCTACCAGCTGCCTTTCCCCTGGCTGGCACTCGGCGGCAGCATCCACTGTATTGTGGACCACAAAGACCTGCACGAAAGAGGACTTCCAGAACTGCTTCAGAAGCTGGCGAGAGCAACGGGCTGAGTCTGTTCAAACCAAGGGACAGTATTTTGAGGGTGACTCACAATGATGTCTTTTACTATAATAACTTTTTAAATGTAAACATTCGCCATATATTTTGATCATCCCTTGTATATTAGCTGACTTGATCCACAGAGTGGCAAGGCTAGGAGGGTATTAGTGTCCCTCTTTTAAAGAAGGAAAAGTGAGAAAACGGAGTATGTTTCCCAGTCACACAGCTGAGAAGAGGTGACCCGAGCGTGGCCTGGGCTGTCCACCTCCTGGGTCGATGATCTCTAGGAGGATCTGTGCTCCCCTCACCATCGGGGACAGCGGTCTTTTCTGGGTCCCACTCCCCCACCTCCCAGGCCTGCCTTGCTAGAGCTTGACTTCACGGCACGAGCCTTGGTTGGTGTCCCGGACGTGGTGTTTGCTGCGGTTGTAGGAGAGGCTGCCGAGGACCAGGGGCTCCTGGGGAGGGAGTTCGGCCTCATGCTCCTCTGCTCAGACAGCTGAAGCGGGCAGAGGCAGCAGCCTCCAGGTGAGGGGCAGGAGGGAGGTGGGCTGGGGGCCGGTGGGACGGCCCTGCATCTTGCTGCAGAACTGGCTCCAGTTTCTTACTGACCCAAAGGAAGAGATTCCCGTAGGAAGAGGATAAATGGGATGGGGCCTTTTGCCTTTTAGTCACTTCATGTTCCTGAGCCCCACTCCCGCCCCACCCGACTCCCTAAAAAGTAAACAGCCCAGGGACCAGATCACCACCCAGCCCTGCGATGGCTCTGGGCTCCGTTAATCCAAACTCGACTCTGAACCAGGTGTATTCGGGAAAGTAACCCTTTCTGAATAACCAAACATTGCAGCTCACAAAGATAGTGCCCTGCTCTTCCCAGTTGTCTTGTGTTGATGCCCATGTGCATGGGGTTCACTGTGTTCCATGCATGGAGTTAGAGTTGGAGAAAGTGACACCCCCACAGGTAGACCCCGGAACCTTGCTTCCCTGACTTTCCCAGATTAGGGATCCTCTCACTGGGCCTGGCTGGCAGGAGCCTGTGGCCACCAGGGGAGGAGGGGTGGCCCTTGCCTGCTGCCCCTGTTGCCTGCATGATGACTGTGTATTTCAGGGATTTGTTTTGCTTGGCAGCTCCTGGGTGTTGGTGACTCCTATAGACCTTCTTGGAGAGACAGGCAGGGGACTGCTCAGGAAGGAGCTGAAAACCAGTTCTCTTCCATTCCTCCAGCTGACACCCTGTGGGCCACGTCCAGCTCCTGATCTGCCACCTGCTGCTTTTCCATCTCTTAGGGGACATTATCCAGCCTATCAGGAATAGACGCTCATCTCCATTAAAGGGTCCTATTGTCTAGGACTTTGCTTGGGTGGGTCCTAGCTGTCCCTTGGGAGGAAGCCTGGTGTGCACCTGTCCTGGGTCAGGACAGGCATGTTAGCTCAATGGCAGGAGAGTGGACAGGACAGGCCATGTCTTGGGCTGACCCTGGAAAGCAGTGTTATGCCCAGCAGGAAAACCCAGCTGCCCCCCACCCCAGCCATCTGTCCTAGGGCGTCCAGCCCACCTGCCCCCTGTCCCATTCTGAACACAATCCTGGAAGCCCCATGCAAGGATGAAGTCTGGCCATGACCTCCCCAGTGAACCATCCATGACTGAGCTGGTGACCCTCCCGTTCCTCAAAACCTCAGATCCAAAGAACTAGGCCAGGAGGCCAGGTGTGGTCTCTGTAATCTTAGCACTCTGGGAGGCTGAGGCAGGAAGGTCACAAGTTTGACCCCAGCCTGTGCAACTTGGCAAGACTCTCAAAATAAGAAAGGGCTGGAGCTGGAGCTCAGCACAAAGGCCCTGCAGTCAGTCCCCAGTTGCAAACAAACAAACAAACAAACAAAAACCACAACAAAACAGGCAGGATCTGCCCCAAACCCCAGGGCAGCCCTGGCCCTTGTCCTGGCCTGAGACAGTCACCATGCTGCGTGTGGACACAGCACTTTGCGTGTGGACAGCACCTGACTGTTTTCAGGACCCTTGACAGCTTCACAGCACAACTCCATGAGGGGGACAGGCAGGGTCCTCTCCGGGTACACAGGTGCCGACCCTGAGCCCTCACCCTGGTTCCTGTGTCCCCACCCTGCCCATGTGGCCCTCAGGAGCTGGGTGTCCTCTGATTCTCCCCCGTCCTGGAAACCCTGCCTGGCCCCTGGCCCTGCAGCCCCAGGACAGCTGGTGGGAACCACAGAGCAAGCACCGTCCTGGACCCTGGTCTGTGGCCAATGTCAGATGAATGGGCCTGAAAGGAGAGGGGAGAGCGACCCCTTCAGCTGTGTAATTACTGTCCTTGGAGAAGGAGTAGAAGAAACAAAATCATCATCAGTGAGCATTTTTTCCCATTTATTTGCTTTCTTGTTTTCTGTTTTCTTTTAACCAAATAACTTCACCAAATAAACCGAAACTGGAGAGGTCAGTCAGGTGTGGCCTGAAGGCTCCTGGTAAGACGCACTGTGCGCCTTGATTTGGATACAGACGCGTCCTGTGGGCCGGGACCTCGGGCCCACGGGACAGGGACTGAGGCGTCTTCTCAGAAAGGACTCATCCCAAGAGGGCGGGCGGGTGGCCTTGGGCGAAAGCAGCGGGGACACAGGAGGACGAGAGCTCAGAGGGCACCTGGTGCCGGTCACAGCTCAGCCTCTTCTCGCCTGGCGCTGGCACCTTGTGCCCAGGTGGAGGCGACAGTGAAGGCCGCCAGCTGCTGCACTGCGGCGTCGCCTCAGACTCATGGGCAGGTGAGGAAGGCGCTTGCTCCCAAGACCCGAGACCCGCAGGGCGCTTCCTCGGACCATGCCCAGGGCCCTGCTCAGAGCGAGGGTGGTACAGAGTCACAGGACAACTGCTGGTGCTGGCCACCAACGAGGTTCGAGGTGGTGCAGAGAGAGCCAGGAAAGCAGGTCGTGTCCAGTCCCCAGCAGAGCAGAATCTGCTGTGAAGTGGTATGAACCGGTATGAACCGGTATGAACCGGAACCCGGTGTCGGGGAGGGGACAGGACCCCCGTGAAGCTGGGGCGGTGGAAGAGGGGTCCTCGGGCAGGACTTGGGTCCTTGTGCTTGCGCAGCAGGCGGCGAAACCACTGAGCTAAATCCCCGGCCACAGCTATCCCTTCTGTCAACAGAGTACATTGCAGTGTGTCTTCGTGTACTGAAACTGTATTTTTCCATATTCACAATAAGCAAGATATGGACGTGACCCACGTGTCCAGCAGCAGATGAATGGATAAAGAAAGCGCGGTGCATACATACAAGGGGGCATCGTTCCCTAAAAAAGAAGGGATCCTGCCAACCGCAACAAAGTGGAAAACCTAGAGGTCCTTCCGCTCAGTGACATGAGCCAGATGCAGAGGACAATTAAATTACCGCACGATGCCACTTGTACGGGGATCCAAGAGTCGGTCACACAGAGGCAGGGGCGAGGACAGGGGCTGCCGGGAGTTGGGGAGGTGGAGAAATCTGCAGCAGCACAACATGGGGCCTGTTGGTGACAACAGGGCTGTGCCCCTTTAAACGGTTTAAAATCTGTTGTGTTCTTACACGGAAACACGCATGGGTACACACACACATGCGCGCGCACATATGCGGGGAAATTCTTGGAGGTGATCCATAAGTTCAGTCCTGTGAGTGTGGGAACTGAGTCACCAGGGCCCACACTGAAAAGCAGTGCGACTGTATCAGCTGTGCCTCAGAAAAGCTCTAAAAACCATCAAAACAGGAACCAGAATGCCATGGGGTTTCCCTGAACACAAAACGAACATGAAGGACAGCAGGGGCTGTCTCGATCCTGCCTGCGGCTGCCTGCTCCCACCCGAGAGCCCACAGGAGCGGCCAAGCGGGCCCTGAGGGCACACGGACCTGCAGGGTCCCCGTGCTGTCCTGCCGCATGGCGGTCCTCAGCCAGGGCTGGGCCCCTTGTCTTTCCTTCCCTTTCTTGGGTTCCCCTGAACACTCCGAGAAGAGGTTTAATCAGTGGGGAGACACGAGTGGGCAACAGAAGGTCTCTCCAGGCCTGGTGTCTCCAACCTGAGTTCCTCTCCTCTGTCTGCCCAGCTGGCCCAGCCCTGCTCACACTGGGCCAGGCCCCAGGCCTCCTCCTGGGGTCATGGGGTGGGGGTGGGGGGCGGCAAGTCAGGCCAGAAGAGGTGCAGACCGCAGGGTCATAGGCATGGGAGCTGTGTGCTAGAGGGGCTGCCACTGTCACTTTCTCCTCCCTGGCCTTCTCCCTTGGGATGTGGCAGCCACCAAACTTTCTAGGTAGGGGTGATGAAGTTGGCTCTTCCGGTGTGGGAATCCTGTGAACCGCTTCTGCTGCAGGAACAGGCAGGACCCAGGGGAGCAGGTCACCTGCGCCAGCCTCCCAGCCTCCTCCAGCCCCTCCTACAGGAAGGGCCAGGGCTTGGGAACTGCCAGTCCCAAATCTGTTTCTGTTTTTGCTTTTGTTTTGAAACAGGGTCTCGCTGTGTCGTTCAGGCTGGCCTTGAACCTGCTACATAGCACTGGCCTTAAATTTGCATCCATCCTCCTGCCTTGGCCTCCTGAGTACTGGGATGACAGCTACCAATCTGTTTAAAAAAAAATACAAAATGGTGTTGGGGATGTAGCTCAGTGGTAGAGAGCCTGCCTAGCATGCCTGAGGCCCTGGGTTCTATTCCCACCACTACAAACAGGAAGAAGGGGGGGGAGGGGGGAGGGAGGAAAATAAATTGACAGATAGTGGATTGTCAGGAGCAATGTTACATAATTTTAGGGTAAAATCATTTGGTTAGCCGAGCTCTCCTGCCTACTGCCCAGCTATGGAATTCCGAGACATAATTCCATTTTGGCCTCCGGTCACAACTGAGACCTCAATGATCCGGTGATGCTGTGATTCTACAGGGCAAGAAACATCCTGGGAGCTGAAAGCATCCTGGGAGAAGAAACATCTCCTCAGTTCCTCATCGTTCTTGGACTGCTACCATCTTGTTTACGCGGATGTACTGAACGCTCTGCAAGTCATTTGTTAATTTGTTTCTCCCGATGGACTGAGTACTGAATAAAAGGTGCGGTAAGCGGGGCGCTTTCCTCTCTGCCGCCCAGAGCAGCACTGATCAGACCCAAAGCTCAGCTTCTCAGTCTCATTTTTCTACCTTTCCTGTAATTCGCTTTGTGCTGCTGTGGCTCGCAGGAGACTAGGACTCACTACAGAGGTTCTAGTAACGTCCCCTTTCCCTGTTCCCCACAATGGATCTAGGACACAGATATGCATGGAATGGCGAGCTCTAAAGAATGTTGTGGGGGGCACTGGCTCTCCTCTCCTACAAACCCCTGGGGGGCAGATCCTGACCCTGGTGCCCCTCCTCTCAGAAGACTTTGGGCTCACTGACTCTTGGAGTGGGGGACCCCTGAGATCCCCAAGGCAGCGCCACACTACCTTGGGCTGGGGATCGTGTGAAAGCACCAGTTCCCGGACCCCACCACCAGTTTCCGATTCTTCAGTTCGGTGTAGCGCGAGGTCTCCCGCAATACGACCCCACGTCCAGGCATTGTGCGCTGCGTGACCTTGGGAAAGAGCCCTGCGCGCTCGGCCTCGCTTCCGAGGGGGTAACATCGCCCTGGCGGGCCTGCTGGGGATCCAAGTCAGCCACACAGGTAAAGCTCCGGGGGCCACGCCCGACCGGGAGCGCCCTGGAGGAGGTGGCTATTACCGTCGCTATTACCTTAGCGCTTCCCGCCCAGGCTCCTGACCCTGGAAGCAGCGTTCCTTCCAACACGTCGCTGCGAGGCCCACGCCGCCCGCCTGCCCGGCCAGGCCTAGAGCATACGGAGATCCGACCTGCGAACCGGAGCAGGAGTGACCCTGGGGGACAGAGAGCCAGCCGGGGAGCTGCGGCCATTCCTCCCGCTAGCTTTTCACTATGGAAACAGCGGGGACCAAAAATAGAAGCTGCCGGAGAGTTCTGCGCACCTGCCGCCAGGGGGCGCCGTCGTCCCGTGCTGCTGATCTCAGGATCCCGCGGGGAAACTAAAACAAGGGCTGGAGATGTAGCTTGGTGCCAAGGACCCCGGTTCAATCCCGGGGGCGGGGAGTTCCTGCCTTTGTTTTCCTGATTCTCCCCCTCCGTCCCCCAGGACTCAGCTGGGTACTGGATACACAGTAGGCCCGAGAAATATGCATTTGGCTGTTTAATTAATGGATACGTGACATCAGCTGTCAGTCATAAAGTGCGGAAAGCATCAAAGAATAAAATGTTAACAAGTTGGGCTTTACAGACCTCATTCGCTTTCAGTAGCAGTGCAAGAACCAGGCAGCATCCAGTGTATGCAACAGCCCGAGACCCGCTGAGAGCGCGGCTTCACAGTTGCAAAGGGCTGAGGAGCAGCCGGCGGGAGCAAAAGGCGGTTCCAAGCCGCTGCCCTTCCTGGGATCTGGCTGCCACTGAGCTCCTGACTTCTCCACATGTGGACCTCCTGGGCCTCGCTTGGTGCCCGGGAGCTTACTTAGCACGAGTGACTCCATTTTGGTTGGGACCTAGCTCAGGGCTCGTTCCAGCCCGTGGCGCCCATGATTTGTTGAGCAGGGGAAACTACCTGACTACAAGGCCTGGTAAGAGGGTGGGGCTGACGGTTAAGGGGACGTCACGGCTAAGTGGGGCGGGGAGCAATGGGCTCTGGGGTGCCTGGCGCTGCCCCTGGGGCTTCTCAGCTCCCCCGTGCGCCCGGTTCCCACTGCCCCCTTCCGGGTGATGCCTCGGGCCCAGTAGCCTTAGTCTGAACCTCACATCCTGAGTCCTGGGGTTTCCCCAAGGACAGTCAGTCTCCAGAGAACACTAGAGCAGAACAAATATTTGTTTAATAAAAAGGAAACTAATCCACACGTGGTGGCTGGCCCACACCTATGATTCCAGCACGCTGGGAGACTGAGACAGGAAGATCACAAATTTGATCCCAGCCTGGGTGACTTGGTAAGACCCCTCCCATCTCAAAATGAAGACACAAAAAAGCCTGGGGCTGCAGCCCCGTGCAAAGGCCCTGGGTTCAGTTCCCTAGTGGGGGGGGGGCGGCGGGGTAGAAGAAGCTGTGGAAAGAAAAGAAATAGACTCTCGAAAGGGAGATTCAGGCGCTACATTCCTGCCCAGGATTTCCGAATCTCTGCCACCAGCCCAGTGGGCGCATCCTCCTGCCACTGACCCAGGGTGGGGTCCCCGGGAAGACCCCCCCACCCTTTCCGCTATGGTGAGGCGGAATGGAAAGGGACCAGGATGGAAGGAAGACGTGGAATCCCTGCTCCTGCACCTGTTACCAGAGGGCCCCCTGGCCTGTCACTCTTTCTTCCTGCGACCCACTTTGTCCACTTTGTCCTGGATATGTTTCCTCGCACACGAGGGAAACACCCGGAGCTGGCGACACCCTGCCCGCTCTCAGGCCACTGGGATCGCCAGCCAGGGGGCGGCAGGCTCGCTGGACCCAGGGCAGAGCAGGCGCAGAGCACAGGAGGCGAGCAGAGCGGGGCCGCAGGGAGCCACAGGCCGGGAGAGGCCCCTCTAACGGCACCTGAGCCACCAGGGCCAGCAGCGTCCGTGTCCCTCCTGGCTCTAGGGGCCCTTCCTGGTTACCGGTTGCTGTGCTGGTTGCCAGGGGAACCACTTACTATTTTTACTCGTTCTCTCCAGATGAGGCTGCGGAAGCGCTCAGGCTCGCCTAGCCCAGCAGGGACCCCGCAGCAGGGTCCTGTCGGTGCTGCAGGGCCCTGCAGGAGGAAGGGCGGCCCCCTGCCCCAGGAGGCGCTCAGCACCCGGATGTAGGACCTCGCAGGGGAGAGGGCCGGAAGGAAGGGGTGCACCCAGGACATCCCCTCGTGTGGCATTTGCGCCTCTCCTCGGGCTCTCAGACCTCAGAGGCCACCGTGGTGGGGACACAGCTGGGAACAGGCGATGCACCTGGCCCAGCGGGAAGCAGAGGAAATCGCGTTTGCAGCTCAGCAGCGCCCCGTGCCACCACCCCAGGGGTGTGCTGGGTACCCGTGCCCATCCTGGCGGGAGGGCTCCGAGGAAACGTCCTTGTGACTCCGCCTGCAAGCCCAGGGAGTATTTTGCAGCCAGTGTGGACAGGGGGGCGGGGAGCATCCAGAAGAGGGGACACCAAGTGCAAAGGCCCAGGGGACACTGAGAGGACCGCACCTTCCGGAACCGGAGTCACTTAACATCTAGTGCGCAGGCTCAGCTCCTGGGGAAGCAGAGTGCTCAGCAGAGGCCCAAACCATGGGGGGACCCGGGGAGGGACAAGCTGCCCTGGAGACTCTGGGCACCCTGGGACCCTGAGGGTGCAGGAGGGAGAGTGATGGAAGGACTCCTTTGACCTGGAGACGCCAGGAAGGAGGCCGGCCTCCTGTGGCACAGGCAAACCCTACTGGCGGGGAGGGGTGCGGGTTTGGCTGAACTGGGGCTTTGCGGAAGGCGGTCCACACTGGAGAGAACCAGGACCAAGCTGCTCCCAGAACAGAGAGCAGCAGGTTCGCAGGTTTTGCTAGTGTGGGCGCAAAACATCCTGGCCTTGTGTCAGGTGCCGCTGCTGCTGGAGAGGCGCGGGGGTGGGGCAGAAAAGAGGAAGAGAAAAAGAAAAATAGATATGCCAGTTCCAGTAAGCAGTAAGCCCAAGCTCACCCCGTGTTACAGTTTGGGACCTAGCTTTTTTTTTTTTTTTTAAACTAGAGGTTGAGCCAGGGCCTTCACGCTGAACTATGTCTCAGCCCTTTTAAAAATATTTTTTAAATTTTGAGATGGGGTTTTAAGTCACCCAAGCTGGACTCAAACTTGTGATCCTCCTGCCTCAGCCTCCAGCGTGTTGGGATTACAGGCCTGCGCCACCACACCCAGGTGGGAGAACCTTTTCTTAAATGATCAACATGTCTGTGTGGGATTTCTGCAAAGTAACTGGGCAACTGTGGTCAGCGGTGTTAACTTACGGCAAAGCGAGTGGGAACTCAAGAACCTGTCACCCCCAAAACGAGTTTGCTACAAGCAAATGAAGTTGGAGAGCTTACTTAGGTTTCTCCCTGGTAACAGTTCCTCACTGCGGACAAACGTTCTGCTCCTGTGGTTTTGTCAGGGTCTTGCAGGGTCTGTTGGAAACAGCATAGGGTACGGAACGACTTGGTACGCTGCACTACGAAGAGTACTTTGCCGAGGAGCTTATTTGTGTCACCCTGGCCTGTGTCCCACCGTGGTGGTCCCCAACTTTCTCACCTTCAGGAGAACCGGGGCTCTCAGCCCAGCAGGAGGTGTCCGGGTCCGGGATGAGAGAATCACAACAGCTCATTCAGACCCCTCTGCACCCTGGGACACACACAGAAGTGCTTCTGCTCCCCCGCACCAGCTGGGAAGCCTCCCGGACACCGAGTCCAGGAGGAGAGGGCTAGATTACAGAGGAGGAGAAGGAAGAAGGAGAAGCTGGGTCCCACGTGGCGCCAGGAGCTGATGGGCTCTAATCCACCCTGAGCCCTGGGAGATGGATACTTTTGGCCTTTTTTAAAGGTTAGGAGAGGGAGGCTCTGAGAAGCTCACTACTTCTCTGGGATCATATGGTAGTGAGTGATGAAGCCAGATTCAAACACAGTCAGTCTGACTGTAAAACCTGCCGCTGTCCACAGGGTAATGTGATTTGCTGCATGTGTACCTGCTCTGGTCCAGGCATCTACCCAAATGCCACCCGTCCTGAGAAGTCAGGGTACAGAACCGAAGGAGATGATGGATTTCCCCAAAACGGAGCTCCCTGCAGGCAGCCAGCACCACCCATCGGAAATGAGAGTGAGCCGTCAAGGGAGCCCTCATCATTCCAGCAGAGGGTATCAGGGACGGCTGGCTGTCCCCACAGAGCACAGAATCTGAGCACAGTGAATTGCTGGCTCACACCACTGAGTTCTGGGGGTGACCGATGACACAGTGATAGTGCCCGGGAGAAGCTCTGAACCCTAAGATGCTGTCCACACAGAAGGTGTGGTCAGCACACCTGAGTTCGGCATCCTGGGGTTGTGTTGGTGACTGAGGACATAAACTTGTGTCTTAGCCTGATTTTCCCCTGGTGCAGAGGATGGGACGGGGTTGGGTGTAGGCACACTCATCTGGGAAGTGACCCTGGGACCCCGCACCAGGGACTTGAAGAACAGAACTGGGAGGTGACCTGGCCAACCCAAAGGTGTGTTATTGAGCTGACACCACTGTGAGCAGTTGAGCTGCCATAGTAGTTGGGGTGTGGGGTGTTCCTACCTGAGGCTCATGTGTTGAAGGCTTGGTCCCCAAAAGCAATGGAGCCAACTGACCATGGACTGAAAGCTCTGAAACCATGAGCCAACACTAACCTTTCCTCCTTTTAAGTTGACTGTCATGTATTTTGTCACAGCCATAGAAAGCTGATGAACAAGGGCATCTGGTATCACCTGAGCCCCTCCAAGGAAACAAAGAGTGAGCCCTGGGGCTATGGGGAGGGTCTGTTTGCCCAGGACCCCACCAGCTGAGAGGGGCCCTAGGGATGTCATCGCCTGGCACCTGTCAGTTTGCTGAAGGCCCACGTGGCTTAGCAGCTCTGCTTGGCTGCTCCAGGGAGCCCAGGGGAGAAGCAGATCAGGCAGTGAGGCCCCATGTGTGAGGGTGTCAGGCTGTGGGGAGAACTCAGAGAGCCGGGCGTTAACAGACATCTGATGCTCTGGGCAGGACTGTGGGGCCAGCAGCTTCTGCCTGAGGTACTGGACCTGCAAGGGCAAGGCCCAGGGGTGTCTGAAGCCACCAGGTGTCGGGATCTCTAGCCTCACAGCCTGGGGCCGGGCACTCACTGCCTCGGAAGACGGGCTCTGAGCACAGGTCCCTTTCGGGAGTCCCTCGGGCTGCCAGGGCACCTGCAGGCCACGCTTTTTGGAGACTGGGTTTAACAAACCCGGGGAACCCAACACAGGGTGGGCCGGCTCCATTCAGACCCATGGCTCTCCTCCTCCTGGAGCTTCCGAGGTGGCAAGGAGACCCCAGGAGCAAGACCTGGAAGCAGGCGCAAGGTGTGGCTCCAGGAGTCTGGAGGGCTTTTGCCCAGGAGAGGCTGGGACCAGGCCCAGTGAGCTCTGCATGACCCTGGCCTCGAGGGCCCTGGGTGTACTCAGGCCAGGCTGCCGGAGTCAGCCCCATCGTGCCCAAGTCCCTTCAGTAATTACAGGTCTTATTTTAATGGCTTTGCAATAGTTCCATGCTCTAGGCCTTTGTGTGTGTGTAGATTTTTAAATTTTCTCCCCATCCCTGGCCAGCCAGGTTGCTGGCTCTGATCCTTTGCCAGGGGTGAGACTGTGGGCCCTGCAGGTCTCAGAGTACAGCCAGGGGAGGCCCGTGACTGCCTTTTTGGGGTGCAGAGAAATGAGCGTCCCCCAAGCTGGTAGAGAAGGGCTGCAACTCAGCAGGAAGAACTTAGATTTGAGCAAGAACTTCACAAATGATATGGGTATCAGCAACACTCCACGGCGCTGAGCACCTCCCGGGGACAGGCATGGGTACCCATCAGAGGTGTTATACTTGGCCTTGCATGAGAACAGGTGAAGTATCTGGCCCTCCACAGGCCCATTGTCCCCACTCAGCCTCCTCTTCCCCTGGGCAAATAACCACAGCTGCTCCCTTCTCCTGAGGTGGCATAGCCTGCCCTTGCCCTGGTCAAGCAGCTGGGGCAAGTCGGACTCGCAGGCTTGTCCAGGGCCGGGGAAAACTGCTATGGTGGGGTCAAAGTGCGAGAGGGGAGTGGGAAAAACAGTGGTACTCCACGGCCACAGGCCTGAATTTGGAGACCTCACACCGCTGCAGAGTCAGGATCTAAGCAGGGAATTCCAGGCCCTCCCCAGGGTAGCAACAGGAAGCGGTGGGTGCGTGGAAGAAGTCATTTCTTAGGGCGGGGGATTTAGCTCAGTGGTTCCGCTCCCTGCCTTGCAAGCCCAAGGTCCGGAGTTCCATCCCCAGTACCAAAAAATAAGAAGTCATTGCTCCAGGGGTCCCAAGGGCTCAGACGCCATTCATATTCACTCGTACACGGCCTGATCAAGGGGAAAGTGTCCCGCTGCAGACTAACTGGGCTGCATGAGTGACTTCCAGAATGCCGGGCCAGGGTCCTATCTGGGGAGTTTGTCACCCGTCACTCTTGGATGCTGGTATGGTTTGTGTCTAGACGCCCCCAAAGCCTCATGTGAATGAGGTGGGACTTCCTTTTTCAGACGTAGTTGAATCTGGAATGTGTGATGCTGCGGTTAAGGGCGTGTGATTACTAAACCACCACATGTGAGTGGTTAGTTTGGCACCAACCTAATCCCTGCAGTCCAAATAAGATAAAAGGGGCAGAAAGATGCTGTTAAACCCTCTTGTTGCCTTTGCTGCCTTGTGCACACTGTGTTGTTTCTCCTCTGTGATGCCTGTCTGCCATCCCAGCCTCGGAACCAGCCAATTATGGATTAAAACTGCTATGAACTGTAAACCAAATAAACCTCTTCCCTCTTAACACTGGGTATTGTCTCAGTAATGAGAGAAAACTAACACAGATGCCCAAGAAGCCCCCCGCTTCTCAAGTGGGGCCCAGGAGTTAGCCACGAAACATACTAAGAGGAGAGCAAATGCTGGGCTGGTGCTCAGAAAGGATGTGAGCTGCTCCCGGAGGGGCCTGTGGGCATCTCTCACAGAGTCTGGGCCCACGCTTCTGACTTTCCTGGGCGGCTGGTTAAAAGTGCAGTTCCCAGGCCGCAGTTGTAGAAATACTGACTCATATGCCTAGCGGTAAGACAGTTGCGGTTTATTTTATAAGCAACAAGGTATTATATCACAGAAAGTCACCTCTGCTGTGAAGTTTCTGGGGTGGGCCTACCCAGGGTGTCCCAGCTTCACTAGGACTGGCATTTGGGCCCGGTTCCCTGTGACAGGGCCTGGGGGTCCTGCACATTACAGGACGCTTAGCAACATCTCTGGCCCCTAGATGCCCTCAGCACCTGTAGTCATGACAACCAAAACCGAACATGTCTCCAGATCTTGCCCAGTGTCCTCCTGAAATCTGATCACAGTCCAGCGTGCGTGTCACCTTTCTTGGAATGGCCCTGGCCAGGCTCTGCCCCACTGGGCTCTGGCCTCTGGAACACTTTCCAGCCACATGGGGCTGCAGCTGGCTCCTATCTGCCCTCACTCTCTCCCTTCCCTGTCACCCACCATCCCAGCAAATCCCTCTCCACTCCTGCCTTTCTACTGTGTGGGCCCTGACTCCCAGTCTCTGCACAGGCAGGGGACAGAAAGCAGGATGATGGACAGGCAGACAGACCTACAGGGGGTGTATTGAGTCCCCAAGGGGTTGGCACATATAGAAGGATTCTCTTTGTTTCAACGGGAAGTTTATTTTTGTTCTTATTATAAATGGTATCACAGTAGGAAATTCGGCAAGTACAGAAAAGTATAAAGAAGAAACAAAGGTCACTCCAAATCCGAGGTCCAGATGGCCGATGATGCCATTCAGCGGCTTCTGGCTGGGGCTACAATGAGAACCCTGCCGTGTGCAGGCAGGGACGCCGGGTGGACAGAGCTCCTGACGAGGACTGCAAAGGCAGCTGCTGTTCTGGTTAAAGTCTGCTTTATTCAGATCCGGGTGACCTGAAGGCTCCCGGAAGCCTGCTTTGCAGGAGATTTGGTGCCTGTCCCCCACCTCCCCCCAGGAAGCCGCCCTGCATCGGGACATCAGAACTCGTCCTTGATGTCAAAATGGGGCTGGTCTTCGGGCTTGAAGTCCAGGTTGGGGCTGCCATCCTCGTTGAGGATCCGCCGGGCTGTGTAGCCAACGATGGGGTACTTGGCTTTGTACACCTTGGTGAAGACCTCTTCCAGCGACTCCAGCTCCTTAGCCGTGAGCCCCGTCTTGGGGAGAAAGGGTCCAGGAAACAGGGATGGATGAGTGAGTCATGTGCGGCACTAGCCCTTCTTCATCCCTGACTTCCCCTCCCCATGCCCGAATGCAGGAGAAAAAACAACAAATAATGGACAATGGACTTTTGAAGACAACCCAGTGTGTGCAGATGGGGTATGGGGGACATGGTGTCATTTTTTGCTGTTTGAGGCAGGAATTAAAGACTCCAGAGAACATTCATCCTGGGGTGGGGCCGGGGGTGCTCTGGGCTCTCCTTCCTGATTAATCCTACCACACTCCGAATTCCTCGTATTATAAGTTATGTACATTTCCTGCTGAAACTTGGATCTAGAAGATCCCTGTAAGAGGTACATGTGTTAAAGGCTTGGGTTCCAGGGGCCACTGCTGAGAGGCAGTGGACCTTTATCAAGCAGGGCCTAGAGGGAGGCAGTTGGGTCACTGGGGTTATGTCCCTGAGGTGGATTATGAGACAAGAGCTCCTCCTCTTTTTTGCTTCCTGGCCATGAGATAAGTGTTGTCTCGCCACAGGCCCAAAAGTAATGGGTTCAATTGGTTATGGACTGAAACGTCCAAAACTGTGAGCCAAAATAAACCTTTTCTCTTTTTGAATTAGTTATCTTAGGTGTTTTGTTATAGTAACAGAAAGATGACTAACACACTTCCCCTTTCTTAATTTGTTTTTGTAATGTTGTAGCTTAAGAGTTTGACTCATTTCTATTTTATCTCAATATCAATTTGATAGTAAGCAACATTGAGATGACTCTTAGCCTCACTGTGGGAATTCCTTTTTTTTTAAATGCTGTTTTCTCTCATAAATATAGGCATGGAGAAGACCTTGCTTTTCAACTCAGTTCATCCACTAAGCTACCAAGAGTGGCCCTGAATATAAAGGGTCACAGAGATAACAGAAAACTTGACAAAGGCTCGGGATTGGTGGGAGAGGCTGTAGGACAATCAGACCACCAAGGCAGGTCTGGGCCAGACTGGGAGGATTGAAAGTTCGCAAGGGTTTGAACTTGACTCTAGGCAAAGGACAGCCATGGAAGGAAGTTCCTGGGTAAGCATTATACAGTAAGATAATCTAATCCAAGAACGTCATTAGCCAGCACCGGAGGGAAACAGGCATTTTAGAACCTTCACTAGTGCACAAACATTAAAAAGATGGCCGTGGCTGAGGGTAGGAGACATTGTGGCGACAGCTTGTAACCTGGCTCACAGTGTCATAAGTGAGGTCTGCAGGGTCCAGCGACATCTTGGCCACCCCTCTGGTGGAGTCCTTCCCGGTTAAGGCATTGTAGGGGGCTCCTCGCCCGTAAAACTCTGCAGTGGGGGAAGGAAGAGGGTGGGTATGCAAGTACGGGGACTCCAAGGTCCCATCCGATGCTAAGAAAGGCTCCAGGCCCGAGGGTCAATGAAAAATGGCAACACCAAGCCTGGCAGTCCACCTACTCCATCAGGTTGGGTTCCACGAACTCAAAGTATGGGCTAAGTCGCAATCTCAATGGGGACTGAGAGGTGATTTTTTTAAGAAAAGGTCAAATAAAAGCTTAAGAATGCAAACCAGAAAAACATCCAGTCTTCTTAAATGTGTCCGTTCAGTAATGGAATAAAAAAAGACGAACGATTGCCAAACTACTTGTCTGGTATCATTTGTAGTTACAGTTAGGAAAACTGCTAAATGGCATCAAAATGTTCTATAATGTCTTCTTATGCCAACTCTTTGCTGAACACTTTTCTCAGTGCTCCGCGAGAGTAAATCATCCAATTTCAATTTGGTTCCACAGGCAGTGGAGAGCCATGGAAGACTTTTAAGTAACTGCATGGCATTAATGGGGTCGGATGAGACTACAGAAATAAACGAGTGGCAAAGACAAACTCAATCTGCTCATTAAGATGAAAGGAAAGGGGCCTGGTGCCCAGCATTCCCTCCCTTTCCTCACACCTCCAAGTGCCCATGCCGGCTTCTGAGCTTCCCAGAAATGAAGATTCAAAACACCAGGCCACTTACCCTTTCCGGAAGTGACATCAAACACCACTCCCTTCACCGCCAAGTAGATGGGCTGATCTTCCTAGAAAGCAGGGAGAAACTGTGAAGAAGCAGCCCTGAACCCAGCTCCCTCAGTAGAGTTAGTAAACTCTTCTGCTCAGGGGCTGTGCGAAGAGCAATGGCTAAAGTCCCCACACCTGGTCCTCTGCGGGCTGGCTACCTACCTGGGCAAAACACCAGCAAAGTCACAACATAACAGGGCAAGAAGCTGACAATCTCTCTTTTAAAAAGATCATGAACTGAAGCAACTTTATGCAGATAAAAATGCAAAAGAATATAAAATGAAGAAAGCTGTAAATCAGCCACATCAGTGTAGACGATCTACTTTTTACTTCGCTTCTTAGAGGGAACATCACCTCACACAACATTTCCGTGTGCTGGAAATGGCTGTCACTCAAACAGCCTCATGGACTCCTCTCATGAGTGACTCTGTGCAGCTGCTTCTGTAGCTGGTCTTCCATTTTGGGTGTCACAGTGTTTCCAAGTCCTTGGAACTATAAATGCAGCATTATGAATATCTTCCTACAAATTACTAATTTGGTGAGTTACTTCCTTGAGGCCTACATGGAATTCCTGGGCCAAAGATTATATATATACAATGTGACCGCTTAATATTTGTCAGTTTGTCCTTCAAAAATATGAAACTATGTACAGTGCTAGAAAAAATGCAAGCAATGCTGTTCGCCCACAGTTCTATTAAGAATGGGTTTTATACTTTGTTTGCTATATTAGCAGGTATAAAATGTTCCTTAGAAACCCTACCACCACCATCAAGAAAGAGAGAAAGAGAGAGAAAGAGAGAAGAGGAAGAGGAGGAAGAGGAAAAGGAAGGAGAATGAGAAGGAGAAAAAGAAGAAAGGGAAGGAGGAAAGAGAGGGAGGGAGGGAGAGGGGCAAGAGCAGACTGTTGGATTTTCTAACTCTATCGAGTGGGTGCAGGCTGGGACACCTGGCTCAGCTCCAGGATACCCAGGACCAGATCCGGCTTGCATCTCAGCCCCATTCGGGCGCAGGGACACCCCTAGGAGGCTCCCAGGCCAGGTAAGCGCGGGAGTTGCTGCTAGGTCTCCAGGACTCTTGGGTGGCCTTCAGGTTCCTGCCCTCACGGAGCTCATGGCCAAGTGTCTTCATGACCAGCTTTAGCAGAGGAACCAAGGCCAGAGAGGTTTAAGCCACTACCTCAAGGACCCCATCTCTCCCGGGCATATCACCTCCAAGGCCTCAGTTTCTCTGAACGACACAAGGAGATACCACCTACCTACCCTGCAGGAATGCTGAGGGAAACTACGCAGCACCCGGCCCACACAACAAGGGAGCTCAGCAAATGCCGGGTTTTATTTTTCCCAAGCTGGCTCCCAAAACAGCCCCACAACTTCTGCTGACTTCACCAACGCTGGCTTCTCCTCCCCTAACAGGGTAATTTTCATGTGTGGGTTACAAGCCAGCAACTGCATTTGTCTTTGTGAGGATTTACTGCTCTCCTCTGCTGTGATTGCTTATCAAGTGGGTTATTTATATGCATTTACAGCAATTTAAAAAATGAGTTACAGTTATTTAACCGTGGTATTTTGTCTATGTTTCCATCCTGCTGCTTTTTCTTTGGTGTTTATCACTTTTCTGTGTGTGAGAGTCATAGTAGAGTCATAGTAGTAGTCATAGGTAACACTCAGGAACAGAAGATACAACATCATGCATCTCACCACGAACTCTCTCCACGTGAGGGACTTGTCACAGTGAATCAGGGAGGGCAGGTTCTGGACCCTGGAGGTTTGGATCCCAAGGTTGTAGCTGTTTCCTCAGCTGTCCCATCTGGGGGCACACTTAGCAGGGCAGGGTGCATCTCTGGGGAAAATGACCCAAGACTCAGGACCACCAGGAAAGGCAGGAACTGGTCAGAGATGCCAGACAAGGAAGCCAGAGCAGGCGTGTGGGAAGGAGACTCGGGGCTCGGAATCATCTCTGGGGTCTTGGGGTCACTTGGTCAGCTGAGCCTCCCTCTTGTCTGTGGTCAGGCGGAGGCCAGTGGGCAGTGCCCTGACAGCTACTATGCTGTGGGGACACAGAAGCAGCGGGAGCCACAGCTGGCATCTGCTGCAGGAGGAAGGTGCTCCAACTGCTTGCCAGAGGCTCTGAGCCTCCAACAAGATAGCACCCGAACAGAAGGGCTCCCAGGCACCTCCTCTCTTTGGAAAAGAGGGAAGCTTGCAGATGCTCTTTGTCTGCAGAGGAAACCCTGCCTTCCGACGTTCCACAGCCAGATTTTCCCACTGCAGATGGCATCAGTAACCAATCTGTGGGTGTGGAATGAATTTATCAACAGATTTTTGAAAATGAAGTAGAAAATAATCGACAAGACTGATCTGGTTTCTCCTTCAACACCCTCAATTAGCTTTCCTAATAAGCTAATAAAAATAATAGCATCACATATTTATTAAGGTTTACTCTGCTAAGCATTATGCCAGGGCGCTGCCTATCACTGCCTCCTTTAATCTGCACAAAATGCCTGTGGAGAGCAGGACTCTTGGTATCTCCACTGTGACGGGGAGCTGTGTGAGTCAGTGTGCATAGACCGGGGTACTCAGTATCCCATCAGACACTCACCCAGCTGTTGCTACCAAGGCATTCTGTAGATGTGGTTACCCTCTACGAGCAGTGGACTTTCTGTAGGAGTTTATCACACATCAGTTAGAAGGTCACGAGGTCTCCCCAGGGAAGAAGAAATTCCGCCCCGGGCTTCAGATCAGCTCCTGCCTGAGCACTTCCAGCCAGTCCTTCCTGACAGCTGCCTTCAGATTGACAACTTTCCCAGCCCGCACCGGTGATCACATAAACAATTCCTCGAAATAAGTTGTATTTCCACCTGTCCCTCTGTCCCTCTGCATCTCTTCCTGGTTCTGTTCTTTGGCAGAACCGTAACTGACACAAGCACCTTACAGATGAAAACGTGGAGGCTCCTAGAGGTTTAGGAATTATACCTAGGACTCAATATGACCGAGGGGAATGATGCTGTAGGGAGGACCCCTTAACGTAGTATGTGAACCTCGGCACTTCTGTGACTAAAGAGGGGTGCTGATAATAATGATCGCTGATAGCAGGCAAGACCAAAACCTCTAGGACAAACCACCGCTCTGCCCACTCTAACTACTGCGCACCTCTGCCTCTCTCCTCCCGGCTCTGCTCCTCCTTCCTTCGGCCTTAGACATCCTCAGGGCTCTACCCCAAACAACCCACTGCTGCACCTGTTCCCACCTCAGTCTCCTCTGCCTTGCTTCAGTTAAGTATCAGTCTACAACATTAGCATGGAAACGTCAGGCCTCATCCTGTTGTTCCCAGCCCTGCCGCTGTACCTTCTACTGTGAACTCCCTCCTGCCTTGGACTCTGTGCTGGGGCTCCCCAGGACCGCCCCATGTCTGGAAGAGCCCAGCACACGTGCAATGTGGGGGAATCCACGGGGAGGCTCCCCAGGCTCCTTCTCTCCCTTGATGGCACTTTTGCCCCAGCAACACAGTGTGGCAACCCTGTGGGCTGTGCTTGGGACTGGGGAGCCTCGGAAGCTGGGCACCCAGGGTGTTTACGGGGGGCGGTCAGGGTGCCGTGAGGCAGCGCACCACCCTCAGAGACAGGGAAGCTTGGAACACAGGAAACCCAGACACCAACCAGGACAGGCCCTTCTGAGACAGCAGTGCTGTGAGGTAACTTCTGCACAGAGCCCCTGACTGTGCCACGGGGTTCCCTCTGCTGCTCCCCAAGACGACCCTTCACCCACTCACATGGTGTCTCATCTCCCTCCCTCCGTGTCTCCACAGACCCACCCTGCTGATCGACCTCTTCACAAACGATGCCCAAGCAGGCATCACTGCCTAAAGGCCCCTTCTGATCCCCCCATCTAAAGCCAGTAAAGTCAGGGGCCAGCGGGTTTGGGCAAGACAACAATCCTGTCCCTTCCTGCTCTACCACTAACAGTGTCCCGCCTCCGTTCCCCACCTCTAAAGCCGGAGACTGGGTCGCTCCAGGGCCAGCTGTGAAATGCCACGGTACAGGCAGTACTTCCTCTCCCCACCAGACCTGGTCCCCATCTAACACCCCCAGCCCCAGGCCCTTCTCAGGCGGCATCCTGTTCCCACACTAGTCAACCATTCCGCCGGCCCGACCCGGATGGACAGGTGGCTGTGACTTCGGACAGTCCTGGGCGCGTGTGCCTGCGAGTGTGGCGGAGGTCTTCGTCTCTAATCTCCAGGTCTCTCCTGCGGCCTTGCTCCCAGATCAGGGTCTTCCCCAAAGACACAGATACTAACGCGGAGGCCTGGGTTGGAGGCCTAGGACGTAGAGCGGAACGGGAAGTGCAGGGAAAGCCTGGGTCCTCCCTGGGCCAGGGAGTGGCGGAGTGGCGACCCCAGCTGAGGCCTCCATCCAAGACCAAGTTCTCCAGCGAAAACGCGGCCCAGGCGGGGACTGGGAGCGCTGGGCAGAGCGCGCCACCGTCGTCCCTGGAGAGAGGAGGCGGGGGTCCCCGCTGCCCGGCCAGGGTTCCGCCAGGTCCCCGCGGGCCCGGTCCCCCGCGCTGCCTACCTCGGCGCCGCTGTAGCGCGCCAGCTCCTCCTCGGTGAAGAGCCGCACCGGGGGCCCTCGCTCGGCGGGGCGCGGCGTCTGCCCGGCCCGGGCCGCGGGCAGCCCCGAGCCCAGCGCCAGGACGACCAGGGCCAGCGCGGCGAGCGGCAGCGGCCGCCACCCCGGCGCGGGGCCCGCCATGGAAAGCGCGGGGCCCGCCATGGAAAGCGCGGGGCCCACCATGGAAAGCGCGGGGCGCAGGGCGCGGGCTCCTCCCGGCCGGGCGCGGGGGCGGCCGGCCCGCAACTCCGCCTCCTGCCCCAACCTCTGCTGAAAGTCAGCGCCGGCTCCGGAACAGGCGGCCGCGATCAGGCCTGCCCTGGGTGACACGGCAGCGGAGAGGCTGGAAATTTTATTTATAAACTAAGATCCACCCCCTCCCCGCCCCATTCCCAGTGAAATTTTAACAAAGGATAGGGCAGCACACACAAAATATTCCCCCAAATAATAATAGCTAACATTTCTGCAAGTCTAAACTCATTTATTTATTCGGAAAATATTCTCTGAGGACTTCTTTTGACGTACTAGGTGGCTGTGTCACAGGACCTCTGCGCTGGAAGACGCCCTTCTGGACCCCAGAGTTTAGAATACCTCGGCCTCCCAGAGGTGTCTTGTTCCTTCCTTGACGCCTTCTCTGCCTCACAGTGTGCAGCCTCTCTGCTTGAAACCTGTCTCTTTCCACAGTTCTGTGCGGCAGGACCCTCTTTGAGCCAGGAGATCCTCTGTCATTTCCGCCGATCACCTCCAGCTCCCCCTGCTCGTGAACCTGTAAGTGAATACCATGTTCAGGAGCCCTTCACTTTCTCCACCTCCCTGACTGCCCTCACATTTAGTTTTTCAGAGCACTTGGAATCAGTAAGTCACCTGCGAGGGAGACAGCAGCTGCTCTGAGTAAAGCAGAATGGCTGCGACACAGGTGGTGGAGAGTGACCATAGGAAGCCACCATCCTGCCAGTGGGAGGGAGGAAGTGGATCACCTGGAGAAGCCTTTGGATGCAGGGCCTGGGGCAGGCAGGGTTAGCAGCTGCGTTCTAAGGCACTGAGGGCTGAGGAACAGCCTTGGTTTCCCCTTCCTCTGGCCCCTGGCAGCACTTCCTTCTTCACTGACCTGGCAGAGCCCAGCCTATCCGGCCAGTTCCTACAGTCCCATGCTGAGCGGGCTAAAGGAAGGCTGGGTCTGGGAGCAAACAGGCCCAGGAGCAGCACAGCCCAGCCCAGCCACCAGGGTCTGGCCCTGCCTGCCTCCCTCACTGTGGTCTTTGGCTACTCTGCCTTCTGCTTGTGCTCCAGCCTGGGGCCTTTACACTGTCCTTAGGCCCTCTGCTGGGGTCTAGAGCAACATGTGCTGGCCCTTTGTCATTTGGGTCTCACTCAGAAGTAACCACTATTGTGAGGCTTCTCTCTCTCTTTCCTCTGCCCACTCTCTCCTTCCTCCCTCTCTCTGTCTCTGTCTCTGTCTCTGTCTCCATGAGGTCCTCTGGATGTTCCTCAGATAAATACTTTTTTTTTTTTTTTTTAATACTGGGGATCCAACTTAGGACCTTGCGCTTGCAAGGCCAGCGGTGGCACCACTGAGCAAATCCCCAGCCAAATTAATACATCTTGTTTGTAGCTGCCCTATCAATCCCTATCACATACTTGTTCATTTTTTTTCAAGCTCTTGTTGCTACATGAAGCTGTTTTATTCATTTATTTACTCCACAATGATTTAAACCACTAGTAAAACGAAGCACTATCAGAGGTACTGGGATGCAGCAGTGAACAGAATGCCTAAGACCTGTCTTCTTGGACTGTCTATTCTAGTGAAGGGAGATAGAAGAGAAATTGGTGAGAAGATGATGTGTGTCAAGGAGGAAAACAGAGCAGAGGGATGTACTGCAGATGGAGTTTGCTGCCTTAACAGGGTGTCCAGAGGAGGCACATTACAGTTTAGATCTATAATGTTACCCAAGTCTCATGTTCAGAGGTGGGGATATTGGAGGGTGATGGGATATCTGAGGTGCTGTACTCATCCATTGATGGGTTCATAGCTGACTATCCTCTTTGGAAGTGGAGCTGAAATGGCAAAGTTTCTGTTTTGCTGATAAAACTCCTTATTGCTAGTCCGAGAGGATGGAAAGCACAACAGGAGCCTCAGAGACAAAGTGAAAGTAAAGCTTTATTTATGCCGGGGGGCCAGCCTGCGTTCACACTCCGTTTGAGCAAAGAAGAAATACATTCTGGGAGGGGGCATTACAAGTGAGGCCCTCTCGGTATACATTCATTGGTTACAGAATTTGAATATGCATTAACAGGTAGGATCAAGCATGACACTGGCTCACACATAATATGGGCAACAAGCCCATCGGGTAATTCAAACTATGGCATTAACATCTTATTTGTATCTAGGCAGAAAGACAAAACTACTTTAGGGACAAAGGCATTCCTGAGATGTGAAACTTGGGTCAGACATGTCCAGGCATTTGAGGGGGGACAGGCTTGGACATTTTGAACAAAGAAAATTTCAAGTAGGGGATTTCCCACAGTAAGTCCAGCTTGAACCACAGAGGCAAAATTCCCCTTTCAGAGCCTGGTCAGAAGAGTTTCACTTGGGGTATGACCTGAAAGGGTGTATTCTTGACCCTGACCCCCCCCACCCCCCTCACCCCTGCTTCCTGGCCACCTTGACATGAGCAGCTTTCCTCTGCCATGTCTTTTCACCATGCCATTTATGCCTTGGAGCCTCCCAACCATGGACTGAACCCACTGAAACTGAGTCAAAATAAACCTCTCTTCCTTCAAGTTGCAAGTGTCAGGGATTTTGTCCCAGTGATGAGAAACCTGACTAATAAAGAGAATTGGTACCATGAGTGGAGCTACTGCCATGACTGTACCTGACCATGTGGCCCAAAAGCCTTTGGAACTTGTTTGTAGAAAGAGTTTGAAAAGATTTGGAGATACAGACTAGAAGCCCTAGAATACTGTAAATAGAGCTTGATAGGTGATGCTGGTTGGAGCTCAGAAGACCAGAATACTGATAAGAATGCTGACAGTAAAGGCCAGATCAGGAGGCTTCAGTTGGGAATAAGGACTCCACTTGCAGCTGGACTAGAATCCATGGGTGTGACACTTAGGAAAAAGTGTATCTACATTTTGTAGATAAGACTTCGTATAAGGCTGAATTTAAAAGTAGCAAACTAATTGATCTGGCAGAGGAAATTTCAAGGGAGCCCAGTGTTCAGGCTGTGGCATGGCTACTGTCAGCTGTGTTTTAGCCAGATAGTGAGAATCAGGAACAAAAAGCAGAGCTGAATGATGTGCAACTTAGTGAGAAAGGAAGTGACTATAAAGTTGGGGCAAAGGAGAGTGTGGTTCCTGAAAAGATTAAGATTAAAAAGAAGCCAAGTAGTTTATATCATGATAACAGGAAAGATGACTTAAAGGCATGTTGGGAATTAGCAAGAATCCACTCATCATAGCCTCAAAGATGCAAGAGTAAACTTTTCATTTGAGAAGAGATCCTCTGGGCTTCTTTCTCCAGAAAGGACTCTTAAAGAATTGGTTCCCCGGGATTCATTTTATTTCACTGTGCTCAGTCATGCAGGCACTCAGAGGCCACTGCAGCCATGTTCCAAGGCAGATAAGCTACTGCTTGAGCTTCTGGTAGGCCTTGGCATCATCCATGTGATGCTAGTTTTTCAGGTATGCAGAATGCAAGAGTTGTGGCATCATGGAGGCTTTCACCCAGCTTTCAGAGGAAGTCCTGAAGGCCAGACATTGTGTATGTGGCTATGATAGTAAAGCTGAAGGTGGAATGGAGACCCCAGGAAGTTGGAAATGCCAGGAATGTGGAATGTCTGCCAACAAAAGCTGCAGGTAGTGATCAGAGCTAGCTGAAGAGAGAGGCCATGTGGGCTGCAACCAGCAAAGTCATAAAGTAGATGGAGCCACCCAATCCCTTTGAAACGCACATCTCACCTCAACTTGTCCCAGGTGCTGGATGTACAGCTACATGATTTAATGCTTGCCCTACTGGGTTTTGGTCTTGCTTTGGTATGATTTCTATCTATTCCCCTATTCCTCCCTTTTGGACTGTTTACCCTGTGCTATGCATGTTGGAAGTATTTAACTTCCTTTTTTATTTTTATAGATGCTCACAGCTAAGACTTTGCCTTGAGTCTCAGGAGATTTTGGACTTGGACTTTTCAACAATTCTGGAACTGTTAAGACTTTGACAACTCATAGAGATGGAGTAAATACATTTTGCCTAATGAACATTTTAGGGGCCAGGATGGAATTTTATGATTTAGATGTAAATATTCCCCCAAAAATCTCATGTGCAGAAGTGGGGCTTTTGGAAGGTGATCGGAATATGGCAGAATTATTCTTATCAGGAATTAGTCCATTAGTTGACTGTGCTGTTTGGAGGTAGGGTCTGGTTGGAAAAGGCAAATCACTGCGGGCATGACCTGGAGGTCTCTGGCTCCTTTTTTTAAAAATCAGCTTCCTGGCTGCCATGATGTGAGCAGTGTTCCTCCACCATCCCCTTCTACCATGCCATTTCTGCCTTGGCACCTGCTGACCATGGACTAACCCACTGAAACTATGAGCCAAAAATAAACTGCTCCTTCTTTAAATTGTAGGTGTTGGGTATTTTGTCTTAGCAATAGGAAAGCTAACTACTACAAGGCATCAGTGCTAAGTTGGAAAAAGAACTGAAGGAGGGGAGGATGTGAGTCACATGGTGTCCAGGAGAGCATTCCAGGCATAGGTGACAGCCAATGCAGAGGTGCTTAGCCCAGTATATGTTCAGCGTCTTGGAGCTGAGAGAGGGGGCACATAGGAATAGAAAGGTGGGTTTTGGGAGACAGAGCCTGTAGGGATCAGTGGTAGGCCACTGTGGGGGCTTTGGCTTTGGAAGGGTTAGAGTAGAATGCCATGATCTGACTACTGAATAAGCTCTCCCTGGCTGCTGTGGCAGGAAAAGCCTACAGGGTGGCAAAAGTAGACTAGACAGCCCAGCTTGGAGCCTATGGAAAATAACTGAAGAGAAATTCTGATGGCTTACCCAAGAGCACTAGTGGTAGAGGTGGAAAAGTGCTCAGATTCTGAGTACATTTGTAAAGTGGAGCCAAGAGGTTTTGCTGATTTAGATGTGGAATATATGAGAAAGGGAGGAACTGAGATGACTCTTAAGAGTTTCGGCCAGAGCCTATGAGAAGATAGAATTTAATACATGGAGAGAGGCTGTGAGAGGAGCAGATTTGGGGTAGGAAGATCCCCCAGGTTCCGCTCTGAACCTGACAATAACCACAAACACTGACCTACTGCTTACACGTGCTGGATGATATTCTAAGCTTTATATCCAGTAACTCATTTAATCCTTGCAGAGCTCTGAGAATAGGTAGCAATGTTCCCATATTATAAATAAGATAACTGAAGCATAGGAAGATTAAATAAATTCTCGAAGATCCCAAAGTCTGTAAGTGACAGAGCCAAGACTGAGAACCAGGCATCCTGGCTGTGGGTTTGTGCTTCAGTAGCTGCACTCAGCGGCTTCCAGGTGGACATCTTGGGGTGAAGTGATCCAGGCATGGGAGCCTGGGCCTCAGGGATGAGCTGGAGGCTGGGAATGAGTTTCTGTATACTTGGGGATTGTGTTAGTTTCTCTGGGCTGCTGCACCAAAAGACTACAAACTGGATGGCTTAAAACAGCAGAAATGGAGCCTCTCAAAATGCTCAAGGCTGGACATGTGACATCAAGGTGTTACAGGGCCATAAACCCTAGGAGACTCTGGGTAGCCTCCTTCCTTGCTGCTTGGTAGCTTCTGGCGGCGACTGGCAATCTTTGGGAGGCTGCTCTTGCTTGCCCAAGGCATGGAGTGTGGGCCCTGGAGCTGCTGCCTGTGAGGAGCAAGTGAGTGACTGAAGGCACCTTGCTTACACCTGCATCACTCCATTCTCTGCTTCTGCCATCACATGCAAATCTCCTGATGTGTCTGCCTTTACATCATCTTCCATCTTTTCATAGGGACTCATATTGGATTAAGGAACCACCTTACTCCAGTATGACCTCATCTTAACAATTTCCATCTGTAATGACCCTGTTTCCAAGTAAGGTCATATTCTGAGGAACTGAAGCTAGGATTTCAACACATTTTGTTGGGGGGCATGCTTCAACCCATAACAGGACTCTAGGGTATAATGGCAATTCAAGCCCTGAGACCAGCTGCTGGAAAGTGGGAGGGAGATGGAAGACATGGCTTTGGAGAGGCCACTCTGTATAGCTAGGTGAGGAGAAATCAGTGCAGGAGAGTGAGAAGGAGCAGCAAGTGAGTAGGATGAAAGTGGGAATGAGCAGTGTCCTGGAGGCCAGGGGATGAAAGTGCATCCCAGGCTGGGCCCAGTCCAAAGCAGCAGGTAAGTCAAAGAGGAACGCAGGGCAATGGTCATCTGATCTGACACACAGAGGCTGTCTGTGACCTCGACAAGCTCTGTTCTAGGGGAGAGGGTTGAAGCCTGACAGGTGTGTGCTCATGAGGGAATGAGAGGACTGAAAACATGCTTACATGTTTATGGCCTGCCTCTCCACACTAGCATGGAAGAGCCACGGGAGCAAAGATGTTGAGATAGCTCATTCATTTCTGTACCCCAGTGCCTGGCACATTATATTTGTTAAACCAAGTTGAATGTTGTATTAGCCAATATCTCCTTCGATGGTGGGGGCCCATCATTTCCAGTTTGGTCACAGCAACAAGGAATAGCAAGAAATGATAGGGCTGGAATAGGTTCCTCCCAACTCTAAAATTCTGTGATCATGTGGAAAATGCTATCAACTACCCTTGTATTAATAGAGTAAGACATTTAATTTGTTGCTTGTTGTATTTTTGTTTTGGCAAGCAACTCGGCTGGAATAAGTGTCCCATTCATAAACTTACCAAACATGTGGAGCGCCTACAACGTGTTACACACTGCCCCATTTAATGGATGTCAGGGCAGTGGGCCTGGATGGAGAGGGACAGACCTCCCACTGCTCAGACCAGGAGGTCCTGTGCTCTGATGTGGCTGGTGCTCCCATGCTTGGGCAAAGGAGGGAACAGGCCAGTGGCCGACTGGAGGGGGTTACATAGCGGCAGCTGCCCTGGGCACAGAGCAGCATTCACCAGGCATAATAAGCAGCCTCTTATCGACCTCACCACTGAGTTGCCCAGGGTGCCACCCAGACAAGCTGTTCAGGCAGGGAAAAGAAAGGAAGGTGTGGTCCTCAGCTCCACCCTACCACACAGGGCCAAGACTCCTGTCTCCCTCACCTTTAGGTCTCTAGACTTCTGCTGTGGTTAAGCAGTGGCCTTGGGGTTCACTGCCTGAGCCATTTTGGGGTTCAGTACATGAGTCTTAAGGCCCTGTGAAGCAGGCAGAGGTTAGCAGGGCTCTGAGCACTGCCAGACCTTCAGGTGAGGGGCACAGCTAGGACAAGCACAGGGCTGCAGCAGTTCACCTGAGCAGTGATGGAAAGAACTTAGATTTTGTCTGTAGACAGAATAAAAATATCCCTGGGCCAAATAATATTCACTTTGATCACCACTCTCCTTCCTTCCTTTATGAAACTAGGTGCCTCAGTTTCCTCATCTGTACAATGGGGAGAAAAATGGTCCCCTTTTACAGGGATCCTTGCAGGATCAAGGGCATCCTGTTCAGGTCACATAGAAAGTTCTTTCCAGACATGGATCACGTTTTTTGTTTTGGGACTGGAGATCCAACTCAGGACCTTGCCCTTGCAAGACAGGAGTGGGAACCACTGAGCTACATCCCCCGCCCCGATCACGGTTTTAAACTGCTGGGCCAAGCAAGTTTCCTCTTGCAATTACAGATTAGGCCTCCTACTTATCTGGCCTAGTCTGCTGGTTCCACTTCACATTCATTTTCTCCATTGTCCCCCAGCAACAAAGAGAGGAAGTGAGCGAGGAGCAGGCACGTGCGTCTCTGGCCCGGCTTCGCGCCCCGCCCGGAACTACATTGCCCGGTGACCCCTGCGCGGCCCGGCGGCGGCAAGAGCGGTGCGCATGCGCCGCCGAGCGCCGCCACCCCGGGTCTCGGGGAAGGCGGCGCTCGGAACCCGAGAGGCCGCACGAAGCCAGCCGGTCGGTCCTCGCGCTGCGGCGGCGGTGTCTCCTCCCTGCGCTTCGCTGGCCGCGGCGGGCCCAGGTGTGCCTTAGCCCCGCTCAGTGCCATGATCCGGCAGGAACGTTCCACATCCTACCAGGAGGTAGGAGCACGTGGGGGACGGGAGGAAAGTCCCCGTGGGGCGGCGGAGCGTGGTTCCCCTGGGGTCGGCGCGCGTGCCCCGAGTGCTGCCGCCCCACCCGACGGAGGCAGATGCGGGGCTGTGACCCGGGGCGGCAGGGGATGGCCCGGAACCCTCGGCCCGGTCCGCGCGCGCCCGGGGAGCGAGCTTCTTCGCAACAAGTGGCGGCGACCCTCTCCCCGGAGAGCTGATGGCGCGCCGGGCACCCAGGCCTCGCGGCCCCGCGGCTGGGGAATGACAGGGACAGTGACCTCTTGTTTCGCAGGCCGCCCAACTTGGACACGGTGCTTTCACCGACCGTGCTGCTTCTCGCCCCTCTCGGCCCCTCGCCCCGGTCTCACCTCCTCCCAGGACCGGCCGATCACTTTGCAGTTCTTTGTCTCTTGTCTGCCCTGAGCTGCGAGGCCCTGCGTTTCCTTCAGAGCTGCTCTTCCTCCAGAGTCCTCCAGTCCCTTAGTGACACTGCGCTCCTCTTCCTCCTGCCCCACCTCAGACCTTGGTTCCCTCCTGTTTCTCTCCTGTGAGCTCCCCCTGGTTTGCAGTCCCGCACAGCGACCTAAGCTGGCGGCTTGTGTCTCAGCTTCTGCTCTGACCACCCGAGTGTTATATCCCTTCCTTCAGTCTTTTCCTACGCCTGCCTTCCGTTTTTCCTTTGAGGCCCTCCCCCGACCCCGGAGTAGTTTCTGTTCATAGACCTGGTGCTGCTGCCCTTGGTCTACCCAGAGACCTGCATCTTTCTTGGCGGGATCTTTCAGAGTGTGGTCCGAGCTCTGAGTTAGGCATCTCTGCTGAGGGAGATTTTGTTTTGGGGGATGGGACGCACTAGAGCAGGTGGCTGAGGGGAACCGGGTGGGGGCCTAGGTGATGTGGGTACCAGAGAACTCGCCTTCCTAGGACTTTCTCTTCCTTTGGCCAGTGAGGCTTCGGGGGGCTGTGGTGTGTGCTCCCACTAAGTGGCCTGTGCCTCTTGGGCCCTTTCCCAGCCTCTCAGCCCTTTCCCACTTGTTTTCTTTTATGCTTGGAGGGCTTTAAACTGGAGATTTCACCCTAAGGGGTGAGGGTGGAGGTGTGGAGAAGGAAATGGAGGAAAAACAGAGTCGAGACACTTATTTTATACTCTAATCTCCTGGAGGTGAATCCTTAATTAATTGCCTTGAAATGAAGACATTATGAGCCTGAGAAAAGCTTGGGAACGCTATCCCTTCTCCCTCCAGCCAGTACCAGAGCAGTGATAGCTCTCCAGTTCCCTCCTTCCTAACCCACCCTGCGCCTTCCTCAGCTTACGGGGACAGGTGAAAACACTGAAACAGCAAGATCACCAGGCTGCTAATTAGCGCTGTCACCCAGATTGCCCATTTTATCTGTCACTTGCAGCCTGAGCGAGCTAATGTTTAGCCGGCCTCCTGGAGAGCTCTGACACCAGCTTCAGCTCTTTTTTTCCCCCTCTCAGCAGACTCTAAACCCGATTTCCTCTGGCTTTGGAAAGTGGTTAAGGTCATGGGCTTTGGAACTAGACTAACTTGGATTCATTTTCCAGCTCTTTCCTTGACTCTATGGCTATAGGAAGAGTACTGAGATGAGCCCCCTGGCCCCGTCCCACACACTGCTCCCCAAAAAGATTCATTGAAGTCCTAACCTCCAGGACCTTAGACTCTGACCATGTTTACAAATAAGGTCATTTCAGGTGCAATCAAGGCAGGATCATGCGAAGTAGGGTGGGCCCCTAATCCAGCATGACCAGTGTCCTTAAAGAAGGTGACCGTGGAGGGACACAGACACAGGGAGGTTTTGTAAAGATAGAAGCAGAGATTGGCAATCAGATGGTGGATGTAAGCCAAGGAATGTCAAGGATTGCTGGTGGCATCCCCAGAAGCTTATAGAGAGACATGGAACATGTTCTTCTGTAACTCAGAAGGAACCAATCCTGCCTGCACCTTTGTCTCAGACTTCAGCCCCCAGAAACACAAGAGAGGACAGTCCTGGTGTTTTTAGCCACTCACTTTGTGATGTGTTGTCTCGGCAATGCTAGGAAGCTAATAGGAAGTTCCTTGAGTTTTCTGAGCTTCATTGTCCTGATGTGTAGAATTTGCCTGAAACACCCCACATCGTGTGACTTTTTTTGTGTGTGTGACAATTATGTGAATAACAGCTTCTGCTTTCGTATTTTAGTCTAGAAGGGCAAGGGCGATGCAGCCAACCTATTCACCTGCTTTGCTTCTCCCTGTAGCTGAGCGAGGAGTTGGACCAGGTGGTTGAGAACTCAGAGCGGGCAGACGAGCTGGAGAAGGAGACCATCGAGGTCCAAGATCCAGCTGCCGTACCAGGTAAGTGGGTTTGGTGCCAGGGGCAGGCAGGTGTGTCGTGGCCTAAGCTGGAGACCCATCCAGGGGCCTTGCTAGCTGTGGGAGAGCAGGAGCCCTCTTCCCCCCTGCCCTGGTGTCGGATCTCAGGTATGCCCTAGTTCTGGAGCTATACATGTTTGACTAGCCCGTGACCGAGAAGATGGCTGTGCCCAGGCTGCTGTCTTCAGAGTCTCTCATTTGAGCCCGTTCTGGGCCAGGTCATTGGACACACCATCACACACTTTATTCCTAGGAAGCTGCAGGCGCTAAGCCTCTGCTGTCCCAGGCACTCCCTACGCCCTTTGGGAGAAGATCTCCCAGGCCTCAGTGCTTAGCTCTGCTGCCCATCGGGGTGGGCAGGGACCTGCTGTCAGCGGGGGCCTCTGTTGCACTGTGACACGCTTGGCCCATCCTGCCCAGGAGTGCAGTGTGCTCCCCTAGCTGCCAGGAGGTGACTTCCCAGGCTGCCCCTTCAGACCCATTTGCAGCCACTTCCGGCCCTGGCTGTTCAGTGTGTGCTGCAGGTCCCTTTCTTTTCTGTGGCTGGCCTCACCTAGGCCCCTTCTGGTGCTTCCATCCCTGTGTGTTCCCATGCAGTTCTCATGTTCTGCAGGAACTCCAGACTTCCGTGTCCTACATGTTCAGCTGCTCGGACCGTGGTGCTGCCTCCCTTCCCACCATCGGGCCTTTCTGTTCTTTTATTCTCTGCCTGGATTTTCTTTCCTCCTTCACCAGTTAATGGCTAATCATTCTTCAGCTCTCTGCTGACTTTTTTTTTTTTACAAAGCCTGCTGTGACCTCCAGGGCACTACTTCCCATCCTCTGGCGCCGTCTCTGAGCACTTCTCCTTTGTGACGGTTGCTGCGAGTGTGTATGTGTTTGGTGACTGACTGAATGACTGACAGGTGTCCACCTTCTCTTCTACAATGAGGCTCCATGAGGGCAGGCACCGCCTCCTTAGCCCCAGCCACTCAGTATAGGTTTGTTGAATGAGAGAATGAGAAAATGAATGAGTGAATGGACCAGCCAGACTCCAGGCTCTTGGGTGGATTGAGAGAGGTCGAGTTCTGTTCCTTTAGCTTCCTGTGTTTGTAGGGGAGAAGAATAAGACATGAAATTCTGTCATTCTGCCTGCTTCTTAGTTGGAGAAGACTAGAAGGAAGGAAGCTGATGTTTGCTGACTCCGTCTGTTGTGCCAGGCTCTGTCGTACCCATTGTTGAGTTTAGTTCCCCTCCTTCCCTTCTGCCTTGTCTGCCTTCTCCTCTTTGTGCCCCCATTCCTTTCCCTTTCCCTGGAAGTCCCTCTTCTACTTTCTTGTCACCATCTCCCCGCCCTTTTTAGTTTCCATATGTGAGAGGAAACGTGATCTGTTTCATTTCTTTCTGGCTTGTTTCACTTAATACAGTGTCCTCTAGTTTTATCCATTTTCCTCCAAAATACACAATTTCATTCTTCTTTATGCCTGACTAACCCTCCATTGTGCTTAGATGCCATATTTACCCCGTTCATCTGCTGACAGCCTCCTAAGCTGATTGCATATCTTACTGTGAGTGGTGTCACAGTAAACAGGTGTCTCTGGTGTGCTGACTTCATTTTCATGGGTACCCAGGAGAGGGACAGCTGGATCATATGACAGTTCTGTTTTTACGTTTTTGGGGGAACCTCCATATTCTTTTCCATAGTGGTTGTACTCATTTACATTCCACAACCTCACCAGCGTGTGTGTGTGTGTGTGTGTGTGTGTGTGTGTGTGTGTGTGTGTGTGTAATAATGGCCATTCTGACCTTGGTGAGAGACAGAATCCCAGTCTGGTTTTGATTTGCATTTCTCTGATGACTAAAGATAACTTACATTTTTTTTTTTTAAAATTTATTTCTTAGTACATTTGTTGTATATAATGCTTACATTCATCACAGAGAGTTGGTATCAGATGACTAAAGATCTTAACCCTTTTTTTCATATATCTGTTGGCCATTTGTACTTCTTGAGAAGCATGTGTTTAGATCATTTGCCCATATTTTGGTTTTTTTTTTGTTTTGGTACCGGAGATTGAACTTGGGACCTTGAGCTTGCAAGGCAGGTGGCAGAACCACTGAGCTAAATCCCCAGCCCTGCCCATATTTTGATTGTATTACTTTTTATTTGTGCTAAGTTTTTGAGTTCTTTATGTATTCCAGATATTAATCTTTTAGTCTCTACTTCCTTTATTTCTGCTTTGATCTTTATTGTTTCTGTCCTTCCACTGCTTTTGGGTTGGGTTCTTGTTTTTCTGAGACCTTGAGACGTATCATTAGGTTATTAATTTGAGATCTCTTTTTTTGATGTAAGCACTCGTTTCTTTTTTTTAAGCCATTGCTAAACTGATACTTAACTCTACCAAAGTTTTAATGACAATGTAGTTGTTTAGGTGCTACTTGAACAGCTGGCACTTAGGCATTTTGAAATGCAAACTCAGTAACACTTGCTTTTACTTACAAAATTTGCTCAAAAATTATAGAAAACAGTTTAAAATACAGGAATTTTCATCAGCCTATATGGTACAAAAGTAAGTTCCTTGAAGAAAGTTTTCATGGCATATAGTTAAGGGAAAACAATAAAAATGTTATATAAATAGTCCAATAAATAAAACCTTACCTTTCAGATTATGTATTTTTTTGTTTAAAATGTCCACAGATTCTTGAGATGTTTCAAAAGTAGATCGTGACTTAGTCTTAGAGCCTAGCTGTAAGGACTCCAGATTCACAGTAGGCAGCAGCATCTCGGTTTAATTTTCTAGTTCTGCCTTCTTGCCACTCTGCCTACACGCGGGCCTCGTGTCCTGCATACTGTCATTTGAAGGCCAGCGGTGAGGGAGGAGCCGCTGAGGGGTCTGGGAATACATCTCTGGTCGAGCAACACCTGCTGTCACAGATGCCAAGCCAAGGGGCTGCACAAAAGGCCTTGCGCTGTGTGTGCTGGGCTCTGACCTGGGAGGGAGAGTGAGGAAGTTCTCTCCTGGCCTCCTCCGGCCTCTCATTGGCGTCTTCATTGATGTGACTGTGATCTGGTGACTTGGAACCCTTCCAGACAGAGTTCCTGATCAATTTCCACTTGCACTTTATCAGACTCTTTCTGAGATTTCATTTCAGACAGTCATTTTCCAGGTCTTCCGTTCTTCCATCTGACTTCTTATTTTTGCCTTGCATCTGTACAGCTGGCTAACAGACTGGCTGTGTGAGGACGCACACCAATGCCATGGTTTGATCTTTCTGCTCAATCTCGTCTTGCCGTTCCTTCAATTTCCCTGTATATTTTTACTACATTCTACCATATTCTTTTGTATGTGACATTTGAGGTTTACTGCTTCTTTTTTTTTTTTTTGAAGTTTACTACTTTTTGTTTCATTTTTTCTTGTAGTTTTAAGCATTTCTAGTTTTCATAGACGGTAACTCCATATTTGTACTTAACCAGGTTTCCTGAAGCTGTTTATTTTCCTCTGCTTGTTTTTCAGTTGTAACTTTTAACTTGGACTTTTTAAAGTTCAAGCCTGAATCAAGCTATTTCTAACAGTCTTCAGGTCTGTATCCTTTATCCTAAGGGAATTGTCAAATTGTTTAACTTCTCTGTCGTATTCTTCTCTTCTCCTTAACCATTGTTTATTTTTTTAGATAACCAATCAGACATTCTGCTGTTCTCTTCTTGTTTCAAGGCAAATCTCACATTGCAGAATTTTCTTTCCTTTTTTGCTTTTTCATGTTCTAACTTCGTTTCTGATAGTGTGCTGACTTTGTCTTCCATCTTTTCAGTTTTTCTCCTAAGTACTTCACAGTGGCTCGTTTTAAGTTCTGTTAATCTACGATATGAATGAGGCACATCCCGGATTGCGGTGGGCTCGCAGAGGCCTTTTCGTCCTGGGAAACGTGCTGCTCCAGTGCCTGCTGTCCCGCAGCTCATGCCTATGGTGGGAGTGTGGGCCCTGTTGGGTGCTGGGGGTCTCCTCGTGCCTGGTTGGTGCTGGCTTTGCTACTGAAGGGCCCCTGGCCTGGCTGCCCCAGCAGTGATGGGGCCTCGAGCCCTTGTCCTCTGTAGTCCATGGTGCGGGCTCAGATGCCCCACAGGGAGGGGCAGTGGCAGGAGCCACAGCACCCAGGCCCGACGGCAGTGCATTGTCACCCAAGGGGCAATGGCAGGGCGGCAGTAGGAAGCATGGTGCTCCTCCTCTGCTTCAGGGGCAGTGCCTTCCCCTGCTCCCTGCTTGTGCTGAGCACAGGGTGGAGGGGAGGCTGGCACCTGCTTCAGCCTTGACACTGGCGCGAGTCCTCACACAGCCAGTCTCAGAGGGCGAGCTCCCAGGGTGCCAGGGACTCACAGGTGGCACCCCACGCCCCTCTGTCCTCTGCAGTGCAGGCTGCCCAGTGGGTGGGCTTGGGTCGGTCAGTCGGCCAGTCCCACTTGGGTTGTACCAGGTAGCTGCCTTCCCAGGCAGGGCACTGGGCTGTCGGGGTCCCAGAGGTGGAGTTGCAGAGGTTCTGACCCCGAGTGTGGCCTGCACGCGGCCAGCAGCTCCTTTCCAAGAGGGCCGGTGGCTCAGCATCCTGGGCGTCCTCTGGGAGGTGACGTGTGTTCCTTCTCATGAGCGAGGCTGCCATGTGCATGGCAGTGGGCTGCAGCCTGTGAGGGTCAGGACGTCCCGAGAGCTGGGCTGGCGCCCGTACCCACCACTTTAGGTGGGACCCTTGTCCATGGCTGCAGATGGAGGGGTTCTGAGCTGTGGAGACGGGTGGCAGAGGCTTGCGTGGCTTTTCTTTCTTCTGTGCATTCACCCTGGTCTCTGTCTTGCCGCCTGGGCTGCCCAGGGCTTCACTCTCAGCACACAGCTGTGTGTGCCCTTGGTGCTCTGTGGAGCAGGTCCGTGCCGGGCACGTCCATCTCACTGCCCTGTGTTCACCAGGGTCTCCTGATGGCAGTGTCCCCTGATGGGAGCCCTACATGCAGAGGGAGG